ATATCGGTTAGAATAGCTACTAGTTAGCTACTGCCACGATAGTTAACCAAACGGCGCAGCGTGATAAGTAGCAATATATTCTACTTAGACGTCACGAATAATATGGAAACATATGATGCAGTAGCTGAATTATCATCTATGTTATAATAACAAGCAAGACGAAATAGTATCTGTTGAAATTCCCATGAATAATAAAATCAGAAAATACCAGAAATGTTAGAATAACTTAAAAAAATAAAATAAAAAATACAATATTAATTAAATGCATGAATGATCATGAAAGAATCGTCCACCGTCTAGAATACCATCTGGATTTTAAACCAGTTTTCTACTCGGCATAATTCAATCTATTTTAATCTTTTTTTTTCTTACCATAAAATATAAATCCTCTGCCGATTTGAAATTAAAACCACGCGATTTTCAAAACCGTAATTCCATTAAAAACGAATTAGTCCACAAATGTATCATGTATTATTTTAACGTGCATAATTCAAACCGGCAAACTGGTTTCAAACATTCAAAATATCGTATTCAATATTACTATATTACGAACGCCTGTACAATAAAATAGTCATTCATCGTAACTTATATTGTACACAATAACCTGAACATTATCAGTTGGATAAAATTACTTTTAGATGTACCACGTGATTCATTTCGTAATGTGTAAACTGCATTAATGTTTTTCGGAATTTATTATTACATCATATTCAAGCGTAATAATATGTATTTCAATTACAGTTTTGGTTTTCAATTTATGTCTTCCAAATTCTGCATGACATAAAATTGTTTTAAAAAATATAAACTGTCCTCTGAACTTTATTATTATTTCAAAAAACACATTTTATATTTTTTACCGTCTTTCCAGTGATGTAAAGTTAAATATTAATTACTTAATTTCTTCAATTAGCTGGTAATACTTTAATATAATTTTAAGGTTAAGAAAGGTTAGGATCTGCAGTGAACTGTTTTTCAATGTTTATTATAATTCAACTACGTGTATAATGTATATTTGTAATTAGACATTGTATGACACGTCGATGACTGACCCTATTGTACATAACATAATTATATACCTAAGTAATTTTAGTGACCAACTCGTGACGAAAAAACTTGTAGGTATTGTAACGTGACCAGAGGATGGTAGTTAAATATAAGATATACAGGGAGTTGGTAGAGTCGTGGGACCCTGTAGACATATAATTACCGTAGCCAGAGGCAGATAGATATAATAGGATCTTAAATGTTAATTTAAATAATTATGACTCAATTTCGGTTATGATTAGGTTTTATTGCCTGCTAAATACTTACAAATAATAATACGTATAAAGTATATTATCTATATGCATGTTAAGTTGTACAATAGTAGGTAGCTCATGTAGCTGTATGTTAGTACTATATACGGCGGTTTAGTTTCACGATGTTCAGTAATAATATAAAAGGTGTTGATATCTTTAATAGCTTAATCTTTGTGTGTACAGTGAACTAAGCCACACCAATTCTCACATTGTGTGTATTTGCGATAGTCCTTACTGAGTACAAGCCACAGTTAACTATGTGTGTGAATATATATTATTATTGTATCGATCAGCCGTTAATCGTATATATTTGTCTGGTCTGACATCTGTACCACATTATGTACGGCCTAATGTAATGTAAAGTTTATATAATGTTAAATAATATTATATATACATAGGTGTCATGTAACATAATTGTTATAGTATACTCGCCAGTCATCTCACACATACATGATACTTACGTACGTGTATAGCATACTGCACGGGGAGTGAATTTTTTTTAGTTCAAACAGTATACGTTCCCACTACCCATGATATCAGATAATTAATTGTACGTATCGGTGGCACACTGGCACTACAAGCCTACATAGTATATATACGAGCTTATAAATTAAGTGCGCGTATTCGATGATAAATAAAACGAATACAAATAGCGTGCACTGATAATAACATATATATCTATATGTTCTATAGGTATGCAAAGTAATGTTGTCTGAGTCAGTGCATTTATTTTGTCGCAGAAGTTAATCTTTGTTTTAATTTTTTTAGAATCTTGCGAGCGCACACTCTACAGTCGACATATTATAAATCTTCCACAGTCGAAAACATGCATATTTCATAGTGTTCAAAATACCTGTGCAGTGTGCATAGTGTCTGCGCAGTATGCACAAATCTTAAGGTTATTTGTATGTTGTTAGGTCCTCTAGGCAGTTGAGAATTATGTTATTTTTCATAGGGAGTGGGGGGAGGGGTTGGGGTAAAGATAATAGGATCCATGTATCTCCTTTTCGAGAACCCCTTAGGGCGTAGATACCGTTACGCTATTAGAGTATAGATTGGACTTTAGGGGCAAATGTATTTTGAGGCTCTTAAAATTTGTAATTGTAATGTGTATTTTTCTATAACACAAAATATATTATGTTCGGAACGTATATTCCAACGTTCGGTACAAATAAAACATTATAACATTTGATAATAAAATGAATTAAACAAACACACTGTGACATACCAATATATAGTTTAAAAATTACTATAGTATATTGTTAATGAGTTGCATACAGTGAAACCTCTGTTTATGGACACTCATCGATGCAGCAGACAATGATAACGGACACTTCTTAATTTTCCACTATAAAATATAGGTACGCACGTGAGAAAATAACCACTTAATAGCGTACACAATTTCCAATTCCTCCATAATATTCTAATGTTCTCTATAGAGAAGCTGTACTGTAATATTATTTTTCTGTACAGATTTATACACATATAGTATGTCTTCCATGTAATATATATTAATAGCCCAGACTCGATACACTGGGTGTTTTTCAACACTCGCCCGGCAATATAATTATTCGATAGGGATGTATTTATAATATAGGTCATCAGTTCTATGCGATTTCGATTCATAATCATTATATTTGATAATTAAAAAATAATCGTTTCAAAACCATTTTTAAACAATAATAATATATGTTAAATTAAAATACCTACTATATTATACTAGATATTATACTAGAAAACTTTAGGGGGCCCGAGGGACGGCTCTATGTTTCGTCTATAATTATACGGGCCTGCGAAGCCTATTGACTCTTTCTGATTTTTCAACAAAACGAGACTGCGACCGATTAAAATAATATTATGCAAATGTGCACACACACGCACAATTTGCATTATATACCATAATATATAATATTTAAGTGTACATATTTAATCGATATTGGCATTATAATATCGGTAAACGGGCTCACTCATTCAATATACTATATTACATACGTACTATCGCTGCGTATAATATATCGTGTAGGTACAATAGTAGCGCCGATCGGTTCTCACGCCGCACCGACCTGTTGCACCTACCTATATAATCTATTATATACGGGAGTCTGTAGCCTGTAGGTAGTTATGATAATAATAATATGTACTAACAATAATAATATTTTAATATATTATATTATTATATTATTATTATAACGCTGTCGGTACGTAAAAATTCGGTCCATATAATATTTAATTTTATTACTATATTAACTCTGCGGGAACGTTTACCGCTCGCGAGTTCTCCTCTGGTGACGATTTGAATTAGCGTTTCCAATTACGCGAGCGCACACCCGGTCGTCGGCCGATTATAATAATACATAATATATATAAATTATAAATTATATATTAAGTAGGTTAGCGTCTGCGCGTTAAAATTACACGTATATAATATAAACACGTCCAGGACGCCGCATTAACGTGCGTGCTGTAAATATCACGTGTGAGCATAATATAAAATAGCGATAATACATATATACCTGAGTAATAATGGCATGGCCGCTGAGCGGTGTACGTAGGTAGGTTTTATATAAGTACCTAATGTAGGTAGGTGCCGTGCAATTTCAATTATATTATATTATTATTATTATACGAATAAAATAAAAGGAAACGTTGTGCAGCAAGGGTACGTTGTATCATTATAATATTTAATTTAATATGTAATGACGATAATTATAATACTGCAAATATTATCATTATATTATGTACCTACAGGCTATACAACCTATACCTATATAATACATAGGCGTATGCTTTTAAATGACACGAAAGGCGTGTTTCTCATTTTTTTTTTCTCTTTCATTCTCCCTTTTTGTTTTTACTCCAAAACTCTTTTGCGCGAAACACACTGGCCGTTGCATCCATCCCGGAACACGCGGCGGCGGTTCGTGCTGCAGTGCAAAACGATAACGATAATAATACGACTAATCAAATTGCACTTCCTGCCGTGTGTACATAATATTGTATGTCGACATTCGAGTCAGCCTATAATTATTATGTAATACGAACGTGACTCTTATTAGTGCAAATTATAGCTGCAAGTACGAGAGGTACCTGTTGTATACTAACTCTATATATATAAGCACTTCGTCTAAAAGCGCGTAGGCGACATAAATAGCACCGACGAGAATTTGACGTAGGCATCACGTGGCATAAACAAATTATGATAGTCCCGGCCAAAATTTCTACTCCTGACCCGACCACCGTAATCCATTGTTCTATTGTTCTTGTCATATTATTACGTTTTGATTTTCTAAATATCATTTTTATGTATGGAAAAGGTACGTTTTGGATTAACTAGTCATTTTGAATCGCAAATTTGACCAGAAAATAGTACGTTTTGATCTACTCTGACGACGCCAATCGATGTATCGATATTTTTTCCTAACTCAATTTTGTCAATTTTGGCAATAGTACTTTTGGATTTCCACCCCTCAATTACAAGTGAATCTCACGGACAACGAGGCTCTAAATTTAAATTTTCAAATATAATATAATTTACACTTAAAAAGACGTTGCACCCAAAAGGAGTTGAATAATCACAAAAACCTGACAATAGCAAAGCATTTCCATGTCAGCTAGTATATTATAATATAATTTATATTATTAATTATTATGTACCTTTAGTTATATTATTATTGACGATCGTTTCCATTCGTCTGTATATAGGTGACGGATCCGGAGGCGTTGACGGTTGCAAAGACGATATGGAAAGCGTGGGCAGCGGCAGCGGTTCCGAGCAACCAAAGTTCAGGCGTAACCGGACCACGTTCAGTCCGGACCAACTAGACGAACTGGAAAAGGAGTTCGACAAGAGTCACTACCCATGTGTGAGCACTCGCGAAAGGCTGGCCGCCAAGACCAGTTTGTCCGAAGCCAGAGTCCAAGTAAGTCGACTCTCGATTATTGTACTGTACCTATACTTTTCCATATAAATAAACGCATCTATATACAGAAGTGTGTGAGGGTGATTCACTAAGTATATATTCTATTCACCCCCTTTTTTCAGTGCATACTTGGTGAATTACCACCATGCATATATACTGTGGAATACCGAACTATAACTATGTATATAATTTGCACATAGTTCAAACTATACAACTATAAGTATATATAATATATAGGTACTGCACGATGTGCGAAATACGTCATAGCCGCAAGGCCGTGAACTATTAATGCGTTTGTGAGTTTTTTTCTTGTTATTTCATCATATTATATATGAACTCAGCTCCAACCACTGAGTTCAGTCAAAATTTGTTTCGCATAACTCCTTCAACGCGTGTGCGAAATAGTATTTAGCATATTTTTGCATTTTTTAGGTTTAAAGCGCATATATATACAATATATACTGACTGCATATTTTGCGTGATTGTTTTTATTTTAATTTTAACAATCCTGCAGTCGTGATTAGCCTCTAGGCTTTAAAAAAACATTTAGTGGATTCTATAGTAATTTGACTTTTTTTCTTAAAACAGATTATTTTTTAGATTGTTGAATAGCTGGTAAACATATTTCGTTATAAACAATTCGGTTACAACTAGTTTATGAGTCCATTCGAAAGTACAGTGATAATTGCAATACCTATATAGACAATCCGTTTTCTTGGTCTTAACAATAATTTTGAAGACATAATATATATAATATTACAATCTATAGCCTTATGTAACCGTCACATATCCCATCGGACTAGAGCTAGCCATTACAAATTTATATTCCTGGAGATGTAAAAAAACATCATAAGACCCCTTCGTTGACCCACTCCCCTTCTACCATCACCCACCACAAAGATACGAATAAAGGTTCGAGTATAAAACGGTATCATTGTACTTATCGCGTACATTATAATTGGTGGTCGAATTTGTGCATTTGTGCATCTGTGAACTTACATAATTTTACCAGCCGATAACTATATAGGTTAGAACAAATAATGTTTCATGAAAATGTGAAAAACAAGAATCATTTTAGAGCATAATTTACAATTTTAAAGTCATATAATATGGTATTTTGTGGCATGGTGCACTATTTTGTAACTCGAGTAATAACTTAACGTACAATGGTTTCGATAAGATAAAAAACAAATAGACTGTCAAATCAGTGTAGAAGCAAAAGATCAATAATACCTATTCAAAGTCTATTATACCCAATAGGCAATAAATACCCTACCCAATTATTATAGTTTTACACCATATTATTATTTTTTTAATATTAATTAATATTATAATAATATGTAGTGTATAATAATTAAGTAATAATTATAACTGTGCATTCATAACAATGTATTTCGCAGGTATGGTTCTCTAACCGAAGGGCCAAGTGGCGGCGGCATCAGCGCATGAACAAATCGCGTCGGTCGGGCGTGGCGGCCGCGTCGACCGTGTCGGGCGGCAGCAGCGGTTCTGCGGCGGGTACGCCCACGCCACCGGTCGTGTCGCCCGTCGCGGGTGCGATCGGTGGCTCGATCGGTGGACCGGACGGCGTCGGCGGTCCGCCCTGTCCAGCCGCGGTGGCCAGGTGCCTGGGTGGCGGCGAGAACAGCGCTTTCCGATCGCTGATGCCACAACAACACTTGCACCGACAGCTCGTCCAGCAGAGTTACGCCGCGTCCGAATCGTCCGAAGAGATAAACGTGACGACTGACGACGAAGACGACGAAGGTGGTGCCGTCGGCAGCGGTGGTGTCAGCGGCGTTGGCGTCATCGACGAGCCGATGGACGACGGAGACGGTTCCAATAATTCGTCTTCGTACAACAACAACAGAAATAACGACAACAACAACAATGACGGCAGAGGAGGCGGCGGAGATGGCGACATCGACGATGACGACGATGACGGAAAGACATCGGAGGCGGTCTCCCTGACATCACCGACGCCACACCATCTTCATCACAATCATCATCATCATCATAACAATCACCCTTCCCGTCCACGATTCGGTGCCGACCGACCGCCGTACTTCGGTCACGTCATGCACCCGTCTGACCCGAAACGAGCTGTCGACCACCCGAACAACAATCACCACCACCCACACCACCATCACCAACACCTCCACAACAACAACAACAACAACAACCACCACAGCAACAACAACAATAACAGCATTCAGCACCACAACAACGTGCTGTCCACGATCGCTTCGTGGCGCGAAATGGCCGCCTTTACCGCCCTTCACCACCGGGCCCTCGAACAGGGCGCGGCCAAAGCGGCTGCGGCTGCGGCGGCGGCGGCTGCGCAACCGTTGCAGTTGACCAAGTACGACAAGGACAGGGCGTAGGCCGGACGGCGCAGGTGTTACGCATGTACAACAAGCCGCACGTGTAATATACAGGGTGATTCAAAAGTTTAAATTATAATGTATCGATAAATAGAGTCGAGATGATGGACGCAGATGGAAGAAAAAAAAGAAAATGCTTTGCGTACCTGTCACTTTAGCCGGGTCGTATAGAACATTGTAAATTGTAACGCTCTACGGAGTAAACTAGACTTGATCGTTTTGAAAAGATTTTTCACTTCGTTCTGATGCAGTAGAGGTATGTTCATTTTTAAATAATAAAAAAGGTACGAATTTTCCCGAATTGGACGGAGACTTTTGAATCGCTCTGTATTATAAACTTAACGATAGTATAACAATTATAATTGTAGGTATAACAAAATGATAATAATATCACCGCGTGGTGCGTTTGCACGGGCAGGAATGTTATATAGTTCGACGGACGAAAGGGCCGTTTCTAATGTTTCTGTATAATTTGTTTTTTGTTTGTTTTTTGACGTGCGTGGCACACTGTGGGTACTGTTGGAGGGGGGGCATACCACTCTTTCCAACCGTTATCATTAGCAGGGACGGAGGGCTTACTGGGTCGTATGTGGTTGACTTGTATAAGTATATTTGAGAGAATTCTACGAGACGTGTTTTTTCCGATGTACGTCGCATAAAAATGGATGTCGTGCGACTACGACTACTCTCGAATATACGACGACCGTTTTTGGGGTTTGGTGGGGTGGAGTGAGGTCGTACTAGGGTATATTATATACTCAAAAATATCGTTTTTGCAAATTCACAATCAATATAATGTTTTAAGATGCACGGTTATTTTTTTTAATCAGTCGAGCTGCAGGGGATCTTACAACAATATTCCCCTGAAAATGCAGATCGCATCACCTAGTCAGCCCTCGAGTTGATTAGATTTTTCAACCACAGTGGAGCTCCAAATAGTTTTCGGCTCATTACAATATAATATTAATATTACACCGAAATCGGGAGAAATATTTTCGGGGGACACCATCCTCTCACGAAAGGTCGACCGCGTGCCCGCCCACCCACATCGCACATCTGTTGATGTCTTTAGGCTATTTATTCCTCTTTACATTTTTTAATTATATTGTTTTCGTAGTTGTGCGTGTGTGTTGTACAAAGATTTTTAACGTGCATTAATCGTGATTATTTGTATGATATTATTACGCGTACAACTCGTGTATCCAATAAGTAGTTAGGTAATTTAAATCAATTATTATAATATTATTTGATGTGTTTTTAATTCATTTCGATCGGTTCAACGATCGGTGTGGTTATAATAATATATGTTTGTATGTATTTTGTATATATGTATAGTGTATCGTATAATAATAGTTTATGGTGTTCGAGATGTACAATATAATAGTAATATAGTTGTTGAACAAAAAATACAAAATATATAGGTATAGATACTTATACCTAATAATGTAATAATATTATAATGTAGGTGTAAAATATATAATAATAGTAACATAATAGACGGGTTTGATGTGACGTCTATTTTTTCTGATTTTTAGCCTATCGACACGGTTTACGTCGTTTCGATTATATGTATATAAATAGAGTGGCTATCGAAATACATATATTATGTGCTTCAAATAGTGTAGGTAAGCTAGTGTGGTTTTTTTTCTTTTGTAAATAACTATTGTACACGACTTACGAGTCGCGTTGAACGGAGGTGGTTTAAATCGATATACTGTTGTGCGAATATTATTGCATTTAATCTTGTACTAAAGAAACCAATAAAACAATATTGTTATCCACTTTATAGTATTATATTACTACATACGCATATCTCCCATGATTATTAAATATTATCTACCTCGTTGCTAACAAATCGTCGAACCCGTATTATATAGGCAAGGACCACCCGACCCCCGAGTATCGAGTACACTGAATTTTATAGAATTTCGTTGTAACCCGTTGTGGGGTACCGTATTACATAATATTATTATTATAATAATATATACCTATCTAAATTAAGATATTATTATATCGACTTTTGCACGACCTCGGTCGAATCAGGATTTGACCATTAGATTTATAAATCATTGTATTATTTGTTTTATTTGGTATAGGTTTCGAGGTGTATCATAGTTTTATAAACGTCGACATTTGCCCATAATTTTTTATCGTTATTTTCGGTCTCCGAAAAGTGTAAAATCCTATTTCTCCCATCCTCGAGGACGTCTCGCTGTTTGGATTTCCAACGACGCTCTGCGTGCTGCATAATATCACTTGCAACAGGTGTGTGTCTCGAACAGCTAAATCCTGAGACGCGTCCCTGTAGTCGAACACCGAAATGTATAAACAATATATAATAATATTCTTTAAGGTAGGTACGCAGATCGCAAGTTTTTATCATAATCACAGGACCTGCCGCACACGGCTACCACAATTTTTTCGGATTTCTTTAAACATGACTCTCTTTATTTTTTTTTTTTGTCGAATCACACATTCACTTATTTTTTAATTGTATATTTCTTTTACACAGCTTTAGGTGCACTCGGGATTTAAGTTTTGGTGGGACTCGGGGAAGGTACTGTAAGTATAATGCATTATTAACATAAACCCTTTTCTTTTGGTCTGGGGAAGGCAATATCTACGGGGGCGGTGCTAGGAATTCACTGACCCTAGACCGGAAATAAAACGTCTAACTAAAATCTGATTGGGTCGGGGGGTTGGCAATGTCTCCGGTGCCCTGCACCCCAAAATTCCACTTACGGGTACACGGAGTATACTTGACCCGAGAGGATCGCGCAATACGATTGGGTGCATTCAAATTTAAAACACAAAATACAAGTCGTAATTCGCGATGGCTTTCGGGCTCTTTAGGTGAGAATAATATTGTGTCGGCTTTGCCAAGAGATGGACATCATCGGATACCATATTCAGGTGTCTTAACCACACGAATCGTGTTTATTTAATGCTTACGAACACATTTTACCTAATAAGTGCTTTCGATCGAAAAGAACGTCGTACGGTCGTCAGTGTCGCGTTTATATTATATTATTATTTGTTTTTATGTTTAGATATATTATTATATGTACACACGTAAAATAATTTTACAATGTAAACGTCTAGTTTATAAGATGTAAACATTTATTTTTAAACGAACATTTAGATTATATGTAGACAATTTTAGTAAATTAACGCTGAGCATCACTGACGATTTGAACAAATTATTTAATATATTATGTTGAGTATTATACATAATAATAATGACATATGGATCGCTTATTTTAATTATAATTTCAGTGTTGTATTATTATTTTTTTTTTTTTATATTTTATAACGACTTATCTGTGATATAGCCTAATTATTACAAGTTTAATTATTTTCATCTTTTTTTTTAAATATATATAATTTATATAACAATACAAACGATTACTGAATTTGTACACTTGTTAGCGTATTATATTTAAAGAGTGTAAAATTGTATTTATTAATTGCACAATAAACTATATATTTCGAACAATTAGACAATAATTATTGTATGAATGTTTTATATACAACTCCTTGTAGGTACGTCATATAATCGAATAAATAATGTACGTTCTTGAAAATCAACAGAAATCAGAAATTCCTTTACAATCCTTTGGATTTAATATTTGTTAAAAAAAAAAATGAAATATCAAACGTTTTTCCGGACCATAGTTAATACTCTTACATGAAGACACAAATTTAATGTGTGATATATATTACGTATAATGTGAGAGTACAATGAATTCGAGAATAATATTGAAAATACACAGTAACAGATTAATCGAAGCTGAGTATTCGTTTCGTAAGCTCCGCCAGAATACCGGTTGGATAAAAAGGTAATGAAAAGGTGTAATGTAAACTTTACCAATGTTAAGGCCTTCTCACAAAACCGAATCGCAAAACGAAACCTCACAAACTTAAAGGTAAGTAATCTTTATGACTATTATAGTACACTGCAGATATTGATTTCTTATCGATTATCAAATAAAAAAGGATATTTTATTCCTATTTTAAACGTAATAAGTGAAGTTGGCCCACCTAAGCACTTAAATTTCTTTTAAATCTATGCCGTTATTTTTCAAGTTATTTGCAAGTAATTGCAAGTCTATTTTTAGAATTTGTAAGTTCAAACTTTCACTGTGAATCCAAAAAATGTGGAGATGGGCCAACTTCACTTAGCCCACCCATTTTGACAACAACTTAGAAATCGGTATCAAACGAAAGCTAATAATAGGCAGGTATTTGCAAGTCCATTTTTAGAATTTGCAAGTAATTCGGGTGGCCAGTAAGAGCTGTCCAAGTTACTTATAAATTTGAGGGTTATTCAATCGACATTTTTTTAAATATTATTATTAGTAATAATTTATTACTTATCATGTTGTAATATCGACATTTTATTAACATGTTTCGACTAATTAATTTATTGTTTTATAATATTTTTAAGATGTTTTTGAAAAGTTAACAAAAAAATCTGGGAGTTCAAATCACATTTCTAATTAGAATGTGGGTATCAGACCTTTTTGTTTTTTAAATCATATTAGTATGTTATAATTTGGTTTTGATTTGAATAAATCAGTTACCTCTGCAGTGATTAAATGGGATTTAGGTAAAATAATTTAATTTTAATGGGATTAACTAATTTTATGTGTTAACTATTAATCAAAAAAAAAAAAATGTTTATACCTCTTCAAAATAAATTGTATTCAAAGATAGTAGTAGAATAGCAGATAAAATGAACGTGTTCATTTTTCTTTAGGACGTGAACATTAAAGCGTTCGTTTATCAACAAAAATTTGAAAACCGACGATTTCGTTTTTTACTCAGTGAGCGTGAATGTGAACGAATCCAATTTTCAAATGAACTTACCGAACGTCTGTATATAGTCAGTGTATTTAGATCAGTGCTTCTCAACCTTTTTTTTTACGACAACATCCTAGTATAGATCCATAAAAATGGCGACATGCTTAACTTAAAGCAACCAATAGATGTTTGAAAAA